CAATAAAAATATAATGTAATATATGTTTTGAATTCGTCTCGATGTCCTCTAAAGCTATGAATAAAAAAAATTGTATGTTCCTATTTAAAAAACCCAAGGTGACCTTGACTTTGCCAAGAGAACAAACTGTTTTCAAAATTTGCTTTACCAATATCTATTGTGTACTTCATACCCTGCAAATTTTATTCTAAACTTTTTTTCGTAAGGTGGCTGCAAGTGGGAGAAAAATCGTGAGTAGCGTTACAGGTAACACCCTGTATATTTAAACAATTTTTCAAATTTCAACATTTTTAATTCCATAAGTTTACAAATATTTAAATTTAAAAATTGAAAAATTTGTAAATATTTTCAAATAATCAAAATTTAAAAAAATTAGAATGTTAAAATTCCTAAGTTTCCAAATCCCCAAATTCTCAAATCTCTAAATTAATAGATTTCACATATTTCCAAATTCTCAAATTAAAAATCCCCAATTTTAAATTCTTAAAAATCTAAAATTTGCAAATTACTAAATGTTTAAATTCCCTAATTTCTAAAATCTTAAATTCCCTAAATTTCCAAATTTTCATATTCTATTTGCCTGATAAGAAACAAATCACTGATATATATTGACGTAGTAATTCCCAGCTATCTGCTAACCGGAAATTCCCAAGTTCCGTCAAAACTTCGAAATCTTTTAGACTTCCTGTGCCCTCATTGACTATTGACGTAATAGAAACCCACGTAAGCACCAGATTTTGACTAGAGAGTTGTGGATTGCGGTTTTTGGTAGATTGCAAAGTGTGGTAAAAAAGTACAGAAAAAAGAAGTGATGTGAAAAAGCAACCGCAGAGGTGTTATTACTAACAAATGTTTCTATTTTCACGTTTTAGTGGCCATAGCATTTGTAATATGAGAATTATTCATTCATTAGTAAAACTAAAATTAGTTATCATTTACGATTATTGAAAGTTATTGTCTTTTATCAATCTTATAAAAATTTTGTGAAAATTAAATTATTAAATGACAGTAATAAATTAATAAAATATTAAAATACTAAATTAGTGTACAATAATGAATTAATAGAATATTAATATTATTATGTAATAATAAATTATTATCCTTTATCGATTTTGTAAAAATTTGCTGAAATATTAATTAATTATTATCATTTGTTGTCTTTTATCAATTTTATAAAAATGATGTATTAATTACATTATTAAATGACAATAATAAACTGATAAAATATTGAAATACTAAATTACTAAACAATAATGCATTAATAGATTATTAATATTATTATATAATAAATTATTATTCTTTATCGATTTTGTAAAAATTTGCTAAAATATTAATTAATTATTATCAATAATTACGAAAGACTTAGACTGAATAGGTACTCTAATATATAAGTTTTTATACATTTTCAACTGTTTATTGCGAGATGAATAAAATTAAAAAATTAGTTACATCTTTTTAATAAAATTTCAGATATTTATGGATTTTTACTTCTGGATGTGTAAAATAAAAATCTGAACACATTTCTAGTTGAACACAATATAACGACAAATTTTGTGGTTTTAAATGAAAATAATTTTAATGAATGATAATGAAAGCAATTTTCAT